GATTTGTCTTTTGTTCATTGTAAACCCTAAGAACGACCTAGTTTTCCTAAAATGGCTTTGTAAGCATTGATTTTCTAAAGCCATCCTTAATTTCTTAATAACTTTTATTAAAATACTTGATTAAGTAAGAATAATTTAAAATTTCAACCAAGGATGTTTCCATACCAATTTTTAAAATATGTTACAGTGCAAGGTATTCAGACTCTTACTTATTCTATGCAAATAACTACATTGATATGCAAATAATAGTACTGAGTAATATTTTCCAAAATCTGGAGAATATTACTTTGGGAAAAATGTGTTTTTACAAATGTTTAATTTTAACTCATAAGAGCAGAGTATATTGAGCTCTTGATATTGATCTTGGAAATGATTTCTCGGCTATAACACTAAAAGTGCAAACTACAACATAAAAATGAAGATAATGTCAAACAGAACCTCATAGATAATGAAATAATCAACAGAAGGAAAAGAGGGCCTACCAAATAAAGAAACTAATTTGAAAACCCTGTGTCTAGTCCATAATTAAGGTTGAAAATCTATGAGTAACTCTTACAGTTGAGTTTTAAAAGTAACTCTATAAAAATGAAAACACTTTTCTGGGACTTTACTCCACAGAAACAAAATAGCAGCACCTTCCATTTTCCTAAGTAATTTTGTTATTTTTTTTAAAGAGAAGAAATAAAAATAAAAATAATGATAGAACAGAGTTCCAAAATAAGCTCACTCTTGTTACTAAACAATTGTAGAGTAAATTCTCAGACTTTGAACTAAGCACAAGTGTAATGATTATAGAGCACATTTGTTTTAAAATCCAAGTTAATAGCTGATTTACACACCTGTGCTCTCATGTGTTTGTATAACTGATTTTCCTCCATAAAAAATAAGTTCATTGTTAACAGCTAAAATTTTCTCATGTCACATCATACTAATAGAAGTTATGATTTTCAAGCTACATTAATTAATTTTTAATTTTTATTATGATGATTTTAGATCCAAATACAGATGTAGGAAATAATGCAAGGTGATATTATGCTCCATTTGTCAACTTTTTTCTCAATGGCAATAAAATGGTTTTGCAAAAAAGTAGTGCAGTATTCAAATTGCAATACTGGCATAAATAAACTATATTGCATATTTTACTTGCTTTTATTTATATACATGTTTACTTCTTGATTTTCTTTTTCTTTTTTTGTGTGTATTTTAGGGAAAGATCTACAGGAGTTCAGGGTCTCACCACTAGATTGGACTCATAGTGATTCTCCTGTTTACAGCCTCCCAAGTGCTTACACCACCATGCCCTGTCTCAATTGCACTGTCCCAGAGTACCCTGGGGGTGGGGCCAGGCCCCAGGGATTGAACTCTGGCCCTGTGCTTGCTTGCAGGTGCTTTAATTCACTGAGCTATTTGGCCGGCCCAGATATATTTTTTTTCTTTTATTGTATTTTGACCAATACATTAGATGTCTTTAACTTTTGTGTAGTGATATTCTAAACAAGGACATCCGTCAAGACTTTCCAATCAGCAAAATTCCACTGACAAATACATCTTGTGTAAGGTCAGTGTATACTAGGAGAATAAAGGATTATGGCAGAAAAGCAGATTTAGCAGACCATTTCAGAATACTAAAACAATTTCTATATTCACTGAATAGAATTTCATATCCAAAACATATATGAATTTTATTTATGTATTTATTTATTACTTTTTTATTTAGTATAGGGTCTTCAGGGTCTCACTACTTAGATCTGACTTATAGTGGTTCTTCTTTTTTCAGCCTCCCAAGTGCTGGGGATAGAGGCATGCGCCACCTTGCCCAGTCTCAATTGCCTTCTCAGCGCACCTCATGGGTCGGGCCAGCACAGCACCCCTGGGATGGAACCCCAGCTACTGTGCTCTGTCTAAGCAGGTGCTTTAGTCCGCTGAGCTATCTGGCTAGCTAAAACATATGAATTTAAATTTTACTTAGGTTCAGTGAGGAACATTCAGTGAAATGACCTTTTCTGACTTCTTCAAATGTGTTACATACAATGTAAAGGATCCTACAATGCACATAGTACCTTTCTGAACTGATTAGGAACAGACTTGAGTTGATGGAATACTGACAGGTACCACCTGAAGCACTAAAGGATTGTTTTTGTTTCTAGATCATCCAGCTCTTAGACCAACTTTGTAGGCTTCCTAGAGAGCAGAGACAGTGTTAATTCTCAGATCGAGAAAAAAAAATCATGCCCGAAGATTTCCATTCTCAGGGGAAAGCTGCCTTCATAAGAAAGGGCCACAAATTAGGTCACAGGCATTCCTGGTTGACAGAGTAAACAATGTGTTCTGCAAGATGATAGAAACTATGCTACTTCAAGTACCAGGTGAGACTATTAACAAGTTTTCCTTGAACTGAATTTGAAATTAAAATTAGGATCAATGAGACTTTGAATTAGTAAGTAGAGAAAAGAAAGGAATCACAGTGTGTTAGGAAATATTTCTTTGTTTGTTTTTTCTATGAAATTGTCTTTAATTTTTTAGATTCAAAACTCATGTCTGACCCACATAGAACAAAGTGGACTTAAAGCACTTGTGAACTGGTGAACTTGAATCCTCCCCTCTCCCCCTCCGCAGTGCTGGGATTACAGGTGTGCACCACTGTGCCTGGTTTTAGTGGCTGGCATAGCATGCACTATCAGGGATCAAACCCGGGTCATTGCCAGGAAGGCACTTAGAGAACACTGAGCTATCTCCCAGTCCTCTTCTTTTTCTTTGTGAAAACCAGTCCTGTGGCTTATCAATTGCTTTGTTTAGTCTTCCAAACACCTTATCTTCAAAAGTGTCATAAAATACAACCTGACATAAGAATAGAAAGGAACAGATGTGTGTAAATGGCTGACGTTACTTGAGTGCCTGGTTCTGTTACTCAGGAGGTTTTGTTTCACAAACTCAACTGCACGACTGTAATTTATGGCTCATAATCATATGGAACCACGAACCTGGTCCTCAGCACTGAAGGCATGGGCCTCACTACAGAACAAGAGCCTGTTCTTCTATCAATTTCTCTATGGATCTTTTAGCTGTGGCGTACTTTAGTTCAATGAATAAATGTTTCAAAATACTGTACTCTATTAGCTGTATGAATGAGGTTAAATGTGCTTACGTCCTTGAAAATCCACAGATGAGACAGATGATAAGAAATGAATGCATGATAAATTCTGATTAAAACAATAGTAGGGAGACCAACAATGATAAAGTCTTAGCACCCCAGGCATGGAGAGAAGTTTCACAGAAAAAATAATGTGTGCACTTAACCTAAAAGAAATGGAAACATATGGCTTTCTGAGGTAGACAAGTAGAATACTTTCCTTTGTCTCCTGTGTTTCCATCTGTCTGATTGCATACAAGACCTAACTCTTTGCTTTAACCCATACAGGGAAAGGCAAGAGGAAGTTCATTTTTAAAGGGCTGCACAGTCGAAAAAAAATATTCCTTCTCTTTCCAATATATAGTACCTCCTGATAATTTGATTAAACAATAAAGTATTATTTTCTATGTTAGGTACAGAATGCATGACAGGAAAGATTGTTGAGTTCAGCAATGAAAAGTCTAGGGGATGTACTCAATGTATACATACAATCAAATATTACTATGTGTTTTTGGGACCTTTCATTCTAGGACAAATATGCTCTCCTGGGATCACACTGCCTGTCAACACCACGAGCTCCGTCTTCTCCAGCTTCCTGGTCACAGGCATCCCAGGCCTGGAGGCTGCACACATCGGAATCTCCATACCCTTCTGCACCATGTTTCTCATTACCTTGCTGGGCAACGTGACCATCATGACAGTGATCTGGAGGGAGCACACCCTCCATGTGCCTATGTACCTCTTCCTGGCCATGCTGGTGGCCTCTGATCTGGGCCTGTCCCTCTTCACCTTCCCCACCATGCTGCGCATCTTCTGGCTGGATGCTCGAGAGCTCACCTTCCCCGCTTGCTTCACCCAAATGTTCTTTATCCACACCTTCCAGGACCTCGAGTCAGCCGTCATTCTGGCCATGGCCTTCGACCGCTATGTGGCCATTTCTCATCCACTGCACTACTCCTCCATCCTCACACATGGGGTGATCGCCAAGATAGGCTTGACTATTGTTCTTCGGACTTTGACAGTACAGGTACCTGTTCCTGTCCTTTTGAAGCGGCTGTGTTTCTGTCGCTCCAATGTGCTTTCCCACTCTTACTGCCTGCACCCTGACATCATAAAGCTCTCCTGCTCCAATACCAGGATCAACAGCATCTTTGGGCTCTTTGTGTTGCTGTCCACCATGGGGCTTGACTTCCTCCTCATTCTGCTCTCTTATGCATTGATTCTGAAGACTGTGCTGAGCATCGCCTCCCACGGTGGGCGCCTCAAGGCTCTCAACACGTGCATCTCCCACCTGTGTGCGGTGGTCCTGTTCTTCACACCCATGATCTGCCTGTCCATGCTGCACCGCTTTGGCCCCAGGCTTCCCTCCCACGTCTACGTGGCCATGGCCAACATGCACTTCCTCATTCCTCCCGTGATGAACCCCATCGTGTATGTGGTGAAAACTAAGCAGATTCGAGACAAAATCCTGAAACTCTTCTTCAAACAAAGAGTAGAAAAATCTGAAGTCATGTTTGTAACTTAAATCTTATTAAACTAATATCTTAATTCATATGTGCCATCCTAATTCGTGTATGCAGTCTTACATGTATCTCTACATTGATATAGAAAAAAAATGCATAAACAGTTCCTAGCACATAGTCCTCCAAATTGCACAGGCTATAATTTTTTTGTTTTATCCTTAGCTATTGTGAAAATTTACCACGTAAATTTCATTGTACATTTGATTTTGCTCCTCATGTGATTTTCAATCTGTTTTTTACAAAACAATACAAAAGCATTGTCCTTAGCTTTTTAAGAATAAATTTATTCATTAGATTTTGTAGTATATTGATTCATTTAAATCCAATAGCCCCCATTCACTGCACTAGTATTTACATGGGTTTTCTATATATGAAACATCTGTTCATTTTTTTTTTTGTGCATAGTTCATGTCAAACAAATTGTGACTACTAGACTAGTATAGATATTGAATAGTTTGAGTGCAAGTTCAGTATTTTCTTATTCCAGTTGGATGAATGATATTGGATAACTAATTTCTATAACAACACCTATATAAAGCAAATTTTAAGAAATGGCATAATTATTCATATGACTGATGCTAAGCCACAGAGAATATAACTATGATTTCTTGAGTACAATACTGGATAATTGTTTTCCTATCTGTCTTTTCTTACTCATGGATAAATGTAATAATGTCATCTTGGACTCATTCTTAGACACTTTAGTTTTTGTAGTTGGGGAAGTAAAATTATCTTTTAAAGCTTATTTTATGAAAAATACGTTTCAGAACAAAATAAGAGGGAAGTAAAGTTCTTGATATATAAATCAATGAAGATTCTTGTTCAGGCCACAAATAAAATCGTACATGTAATAGAGACTAAATGCCTTCTCATATTCATGCTAGGGATAAACTCAAGAAAAAAAAGCTGAATGAATGCTTTCCTACACATACTCAGTGTAGTCATATAATGACAGGAGAGGGCTAGAAGAAATGAGCTCGGGTCACAAGTGTGTTGTACTCAGCTTACACTGATGTTTGTAGCTAGAGCAATACGTTTGGCCAAAGTCTGAGAACCACAACTCTAGGATACTACAACGGGTAGTGAGTAATGATGTTACCCTTGTACCCAAGGAGAATTCCTGGAAAAACTGGACTAGTAGTCTTTGTGAACATGAGATTTAGATTTATTGATTTATTGTGGCTACTTGTCAGATGTAAGTTTTGTGCATGCTGATCACTTAGCAGATATGTGAGGAGCTACCCTTAAAAGTCCCGGGCTCCAAAGCTCAAGTAGGGTCCCTGGATAGATGCACCTTCCATGTGTATATCAGGGATGGTGAATCTGCTAAAGCTTCAATGATACAAACAGCCCACTGGGACACTTAGGCCATTGTTCAGACCACTGATCTATAAGGTTCACAGCTCAAATGACTGTTACAGAAGAGAGGAAATAATCAGAAACTTGTACCTAGCTAAGTTCTCTTACATTTACTTTCCTTTTTAATGATAAAAAATATCTTATTTAGACTTCTTTTCATGAACACTTTTTACATTTGTTTTTTAAATTTAAAAGTGTAATGAGTAGCATAATTATGTTGGGATACTGTACTCGTGCTTTGGAAAAAATTACCTGAAAAAAATATAAAGACTTTCAAAATAGATTTTAAAAAAGGCGAACATCTAACTGTTTCAAGGTTTTTATACTGGTCCTATGATTATTTTGCTACCAGCCCAAAATGTACTTCAAGTGAAAATATTTTTTCTGTAGAACAAGTATGTATGGAGCATAAACAACTTAGGTCACAAATTAGCTCACTGATCCTCTTTCAGGAGCATCTCCTCAGAAAACAAACTCTCAATCTTTACTGCTATACTGATTAATAAAATTTTAATGCAGTTGTTCCCCAAAGACAGAAAGAAAGACCAAGAATTTTCAGAGGGAACAAAGCTGATGGCTTTCTTTTCTTCCCTGTTACGATATAGTGTTCTTTGTTACTATATAGTGTTAATTGCATGAGTCCCTCCAGGGCACTGTGGAGCCAGGGACTCAGAGCTCACCAGAGATGGCCTGTATGTCCATGGCTTTCCTGGGATGGCCTTTGGTTCCTCCTTCCTAACTTAGGATCTAACTTCTTAAGTCACTCATGACAAGCTCTACATCTATGAAATTGAAAGTTTCAATTTCAAGACCACATACTCAGATTAAGACTAAGTTCAAACTCCTTCCATTTGTGTCCAGTGAATACTTTAAAATACCCTTAAACTTGTTCCTGAGAAAACAGGAACTGCTTATTTGAAGACAGTAAAAGACAGTAAAAGGAAAATCTTATTCAAGAGCAGCCATATGCTGCTATAACAAAAAGAAATTAATGAGAAATAAATCTGGACAGATCATTTTTTAATTGTCAATCAGAGAAATAGTCTTGTATATATTAAATTCCAACTTGATTTTATTTCAGTTTACGAAAAAAATCTGAATTAAGGAAAGGAGTGATTTTTTTTGAGGATATGGATTTTCTTTTATGTAATTTTCAAGCATTTAATTAGTAGTACAAGCTTTGGCACAAGAATGATCACATTCATTGTGGAAAACTTGTACACGTACACAACACAACTTAATTCTTTTTATATTTTGTTTCCTTCCTACATTAGAAAGTAGGAAACTCTTTTTCAAAGAGGAAGACGAATAAGAGTAGGATAGAGTGGGAAAGGAAAGGAGGGAAAAGGAATTTTAAAAAAGAGTTGAAGAACAATAATAGATATAGAGCATTTACCAATGGGGAGGGGATATGGAAGACTTGTTGGTCTGGGGCTCTAAATATGGTGCAAGATATTCTTGGGCCAGCAAAGCAAAGGCCTGGGAAAAGATTTCTTTCGCTAAGGAGGTAAAATAATATCAACCTAGGAATAGAAGAAAAGAGTCATGACTGGTTTCATGTTCTACTTTTTGTTTGCTTATTTATTTATTTATTTATTTATTTGTATTTTAGGGAAGAGTCTGCAGGGTGCTCAGGGTCTCACTACTGGATCAGACTCATAGTGATCTGCCTGTTTACAGCCTCCCAAGAGCTAGGATTACAGGCACGCGCCACCACACCCAGTCTCATCATGGCGTGGTGGCTCGTGCCTGTAATCCTAGCCCCGGGCACAATCTCATCACGCCCGGGAGGCGGGGCCGGCAGGGCTGGTTTCATGTTCTAAGCCACCATGTACTAAACTGAATATCTAGCAAAGGCCTCCAGGGAGCCTCCTAAACAGCTCCGTCCGGCGCCTGCGCTTTCAATGTTGCTCTGCTCACCAGTCCCACAGAGGTTACGCGTGGGCCTCCAGGGAGATCCCGACCAAGGATTTATAAACCTGCTGGCCTGTCTTTGTGGTCTAGGCAAAGGGCCTCGTGAGGCCCAGCTTCATCAGCCTGCACAGAGCTGTGTCTCTGTGCTGGAGTCCGGTAAGTGATGGAGCTGTATTAGGCAAGGTTAGTGAAAGCAGGCCTTTTTGTGTCTGGGGCGGAAGTCCTGGGCTAGCCTAGACATGGCTTGTAATTATATTTGCGGATATCTGAGGACAAGGAGACAGTGTTAAAAGTACACAGCACCTCTGCTGCTTTCATAAGATAAAGTCTAGGAGGGGACCAAGGGACAGAGGAAGGAATAAGGGAGGACAGAGAAAGGGGAAGTAAAACTATTGTTACGTTCTTGTGCCAGCTCTCCACACTCAGTGGAATCATTATGTATAGATAAAAAATAAAATTAAAATAAAAGATAAATTTCAGTTTTGTGAAACAATCTCAGATCTTTCATCTACCAGTCAATAATTGTTACTTTTGAAGTTTAAAATGAAATGTAAGTGAAACTTTAATTTATATTGAATACTAGAAATTAAAAAGAATAACTGATATAAGAAAACGGTAAGGGAACGAAGAGAGAACGATGAAAAGAAGAAGGAAAAACTAAAACAGGATTTCCAACTCACAGAGCACTGTACTAGAGGCAACACCAATAGCTGCCAAAGGGACTTCAAAAACACAGAGTTAAATGATAGATATTTAATTTCTGAAGTGATAGTTTAAAGGACTGATACTATTTGTCATAGGTTACAATATTCATTTTGAGAAACAAAACACTGCTGCATTACTTGCTGAAGAATTCATGCAACGTATTTGTATAGGCCTTATTTGTACTTCTCAGACAATAAACTCTGGGTGCCACTGCATGGGTAACAATCCTAGTCTCAGAAAGTTTAAACTGTTTTCTCATAAATCTAAAAGTCGTGCAAATTACGGTCTTCAATAGAGACCAGACATTGTGCAACAAACCTGCCATCTACTGTGAGCCGCTCTTAATGAGGCAAGTAGGAAGGAAAGTACATTATTATTTTCAAGATCATCCAACAAACTCTGGCCTTTACCGAAAGAGGGTGCTTGTCCTTGCATTCATTTTTATCTCCTGTCATTTTAGCATTTATGTCTGAAGAACTCTGAATGTTTTGCAACTTGGGTCTCTCATCTAGGTATAGATCAATGTCAACCATGTGTCACTGCTCTATGCAGAATATTAAATGACTGAACATTAACCATCCAAAAACAATATCTAAACTGATATGCTGAGCTGTAAAAGGCTCGTCAACAACTTCTGACATTGCCAGTACTATAGAAAACCCACTACTATATATCATGGACTACAGGACTATACTAGAATATTTTGCTGAATTCATGCACCTACAATATTTAAATGATAATGGAATACCCTTCCCTGACAAAACTACCAAAAAAGTGGGATACAAATGAAGGAGCATTTTGTATCTGTATATTCAAAATAGCATAGATATACAGCTGCATTCTCTTAATTCAATGAATAGAGATTTGTTCCAATAGTGTTTGTGAACAGGATATCATGGCTGCATCTTGTACAATAAATAACCACTAAGACAACAATATGCAATGTATTATTGAAACTGTGCTAGTAATCTGTTTTGAAACTGTCTCATTGATATTTATTTTTCAATAAAATTATTTTTAAACACTTTTTTATTTTGAGGATGGAGACAGTTTTTTTTTTTTTTTGCGGAACTGGGGATTGAACTCAGGCCCTTGCACTTGCCAGGCAAGCGCTTATTCTACTGAGCTATCTCCCCAGCCCCCTCAATAAAATTATTTTTAAAAATAAACAAATAAAACTAAAACTCTGGGATTATAGTGAATATACAAATGTTTTACTTTATCAGACACAAAACAGGCTGGAATGATTTGGAATAGCTAATGTCTAGAGGCTAAATTATTGAGTGAAGATTCACAACACTTCCCACAAGGCACAAAAAGCATTTCAGGAAGGTACAGTACCTCACTTATGAAATTAAATGTCACAATTGAGTTAGTTGCTTTCTGAGACTCTTAGTTGTCTTCTTTCAATCCTGCTGTCCCTCCCCCTCCAGGGATGTTACAAGGTGAACTAAGTAGACATTTTAAAGATGGCTATGAAATTCTCAGCATATGATTTATGAGTGTTTTTTTAAGTTCAAGTAGAAAAGAAAGCATTTTCACTCTCCACTTTGTAGCTGAAAATACCTTGTGTGAGACTTCTGTGACAGGAGTAATTCAGGCAAATGAATGCAAGCAACGGGAGCATCCCTGCCCCAAGGCCTTACCCCCTCAGCATCAGGACTAGGTCACTAGGGATGAACGCTTCTCTCCACACCTGATTTCCAGACTATGACAGGTTAATTGTTATTTTGAAAATTACACTCCATCATCTGTGGCTGTACATACATCCTTACCTCTCTCTAAAGCCCCAGTGTGCCTGGATGTAGTAGGAGGCATTTAGTTATGCTGAATAAATTATGTTGACAAAGTTAATATAATTAATGAAATATAGGGGCTGCTCCTTTTCCTACGCTGCTTTCCTTTCCTGTCCCTGAAACTCTAGTATCCCTATGTCTGCCTACACAGGCTTTTGTTTGAGGGAGCTTTATCCTTTCGGACAAATGTGGGGTGAAAATACCAGGCATCAGGGCTAGCGAGAAAGCTCTGTGTACTAAACGCCTGCTGAGGCAAGTGAAGGGACTGAGGTTTGATCCCCAGAACCACATACCCCACTATCCCCTACCCCCAGGGTGTGCTGAGCCAGCAACTGGACCAGATATGGTGGTGCACACCTGAAATCCCAGCGCTGGGGAGGCTGAAAATAGGAGGATCACTACAAGTCCAAGCTGTGTAGTGAGACTCTGTGCCAAATACGTAAGAAAAATACCAGGCACCTAAGTTTGTGACTGAGTATAGCAGGCTCTCTCTTCTAGGATGCATTAGATGGTGAAGTTTAAAGAGACAGACCTAAGTCTTTCTCACTTGTGGATCCTCCAGTGTCTTGCCACATAACCTCAGGCCTGCCTCTGGGACTTTGTCTTTTAAAATTTCGTCCCCTCCCTTATGGTTTAGGAGAGGATTTGCTGTGTAAATCAAGGTATTCTATAAAATTTCTATTGGGATTGTTAAATCTCTAATGCCTCATTAAAATGAAATGGCAACTGTTCCATTTTTTGAAAATTTCATTTTATTGGCAAATAACTTTGGAGGTGAAAGTGCCTTTCCATGTTTTGAAAACACATTGTGGGTAACAACCTCCACGTAAAACTTGTCAGAGATAGGTTCATGAATAAAATGTCTGTGGTTCTCCTTTGTTTCCTGTAACAAATATTCAGAGTTTTCTCAGGATCCTTAACAGGAATCCCAATCCTCCACAAAGGAATATTCACCAGAATTGAGTTCTCTTCTTTCTATTATTGTTCTTTTCTTAAATATCAAGATTTTTGTCTTATTTATGTGTAAATACATTTCTTCTTCTTCTACTACTTGTTTTAGAATTGCTGTAATATTTATTCACTGTTCTACCTACTTACTTGTTTCAATTTTGATCCCTTCAGCTGCTCTTCCCAGAATCTCCCTCTGAGTTCCTTAGACTAACAGTTGTCATGTGGATTTTGTGTTGCCCATGTCTTTCCTGACTTGATAGGGTATCATTAGAATTCATTGGTTTTGAAAAATATATAATACAGTAAAGTTTTTTAATGGTCAGACATGCTACATAACAGACTTCCCAAGAAGACACTGAATGCTCCAACATTAAGAACATTTTTGTAGATGTTGAGACAGGAAATCACTACTCATTACTAAGGTTAGATATATGACCATGGTCTTCTTTGCACTCCATGTAATCACATTTTCAATTTTTTTCTTTAGTAATTTTTTTTTTGACAGAAAGTGGGATTGTTTTCAGATGAGTGAGTTGTACGTAGCAGAATGTTCACAGTTAAGACTTTCTATCTACCTTGTGGCCGGTGCCCTCTTCAGCTCTGTCACAAGCATACTCGGGATTATTACACATTCAAAGGTTGAGGCTACATACTGTCTGCTGTTCCCTAACATTTAGTGGATAGCAGAAGATACTGTGGACAGTGTGTTTTGTTTCCAGCTACAAATATTGTCTATACCTTCTACTTTTCATTAAACCATACCAGGTATTCCAACGTTTTTAGAGAGGACCACGTAGAAAATACTAAGAAGGAATTAAAAGCAAGCAAACATCAAAGTCCAACTGTTCCTGATAGCTTTAGCTTTCTGGCACAATTTTTACTTGTAATACCTCAAGCTCCTTTCAGAACAAAAGATATCCCTGGTATAAGGGATTCAAATTCAGTAATAATTGCTCATTTTCAACTCTGCCATCTAACCACGAAATGCAATTCACCTTTAGGAAAGTGCTCTTGTACTAAAACAGTCTGGTTCATGCACAGGGGCCCTGAGTGCTCAGCAGGGGCTTCTGTACCTTAACTTTCAAACTTTGAAGTGTCTTCGAAATAAGGCAGAGATTTAAGGGTGTTCTCTTTTTCCTCCTTCCTTTGTGCACATTCTTCATTTTAGTGGTCCAAATATATCAATGAAAAATAGAGAAAACATCTCAGAAATGAGTCAGTACTATTTCATAATAGAACCCTGTAAAGGACTGGAATTCAGCAGTATAAGAAAACAGTAATATTCACTCTCAAACAAGAGCAAGTGGCTACTATGAAGGACATGAAGATAGAAAAAACTACGCTAACATACTCTTTGGCTTTATTTGCAAATTTTGCAGGGAAATCCCTTTCCAGAGTTATGGCAATTCCTGGAAACAGTAATGCTAGCAGCTTCTTCTTCATACTGATGGATCTCCCTGGACTGGAGAATGCTCACTGCTGGACAGCTATTCCTATCTGTTCCATCTATGTTCTCTCTGTGCTGGGCAACATCACCATAATGTACATAGTCAAGTCTGTGTCCAGCCTCCACACACCCATGTACCTCTTCCTGTCCATGCTGTCGATGGCTGACCTGGGTCTCTCAGCCTCTACACTGCCTTCGATGGTAGCTGTCTTTCTCCTGGGCCAGAGGAAGATAGGAGCTTCAACCTGTTTTTCACAACTGTTCTTCATCCACACTTTCTCTGTCATTGAATCAGCGGTCCTGTTGGCCATGGCTTTTGACCGCTGTGTAGCTATCCAGAAGCCTTTACGCTATGCCAGCATTCTCACGACCAAGCGCATCAAGGCCATTGGGCTCACTGTTGTGACCCGAAGTGCTGTCCTGCATCTACCCCTGCCTGTGCTCCTGGGCAGACTTCAGTTCCAGCCTGTGAGTGCTCTGTCTCATTCATACTGCGTGCACCCTGATGTGCTGAGGCTGTCCCGTTCAAGCACTCTGGTCAACAGTGGCTTGGGACTCTTTGTCCTGCTCTCCACACTGGGAATGGACGCTGTTCTCATTCTGCTCTCCTACGTGCTCATCTTAAAGACAGTACTGAGCATTGCTTCCAATGCTGACAGGCTCAAGGCCTTCAACACCTGCATCTCCCACATCTGTGCTGTACTTCTGTTCTATACCCCACTGGTTAGCCTGTCCATGATCCATCGCTTTGGCACAAAGAAGCTACCAGC